TGAAAAACGGCGGTAAGGGTGCTTTAAAGCTTGTTCAACTAAAGCCCCCACTGCTACTTCTCTTTCAGTATTTGTATGCAGCTCACTGGAGCACAATTACATTATGAAATGGACAGCAGATCGAAAGATGCTGTGCACTTAAGCATGCACTTAACCACTATGCCAATAACAAATGTTTGTTACACATCAAGCAGGCTCCACTCCCGGGCCGGGGTCGGAATTCCAGCCCCACGTGGGCACAGGCCACGGCCTGGAAGGAAGGCAGATGGCCGGCACAGGATACACCACCTAGGGCCTGAAGGCAGCAGGTGTAGGAGATGATGAGCCTATCTGGGGCTCTCAGCACCTGCCAGCAGCAGCAGGGCACGTCGGAGTGAGCAGGGGTCTGGATTGGCTCAGACCAATCCAGAACCCCTTAAGTAAGGATGCACCACCTCCAGGAGGTGGGAGCTCAGCCACAGGCAAGTCTGGCTTGTGGCATCCCCGCCCCCGGAGACAAAAGACCTAGGACCTGGATCAGCACAGCTCTGCAGACAGACTCCTGACTGGCATCTCACCACAGGAGGTCAGGTACTGACTTAGGGGCTGCTCCAGGGTTTGTGACACCCCTGACCCCAACTTAGCCAAAGGGTTTGACCCAGGACGAACCAGCTCACTCGCATTGAACTTGTGCATGAAGCACGCCCTCAAGAGCTCAGGCCGCCTGAGGGAAGACAGTCCAGATAAACTGGTGGACCAAAGAAAGGCTCAGGGTAGGTTTGGATATTGTTATTTAGGTTTGATAAATTCATTTATTTTCTTATGCAGGCCATGCATTGCTGACCCAGGATGGCAGCGGGGCCCCAAGAGCTCAGCCTAGAGCCCCCAGCTCCAGGAAATGCTGCTTTCTTGCCACCTTGGATTCTTCAGTTTAGGCAATGAGTCCAGACACCCCACATGGCCAGGCGTCTGCACCGAGCATCAATGGAAACACCTGAGTGGAAAGAGATGCGGTGTAGAGGAGGGAGAGTCCACACCTGAGTCCTCAGCTGTCTCTATCTCCAATCAGGTACTGCCTCCTGATACCTTTCTCATGGTTGCATCAAATCATGGTGAGTAAGATTTGAGAATGAGAGAGAGAGAGAAAGAGACATCCACCAAGTATGCAGTACATGGGTCCCATCCCAGTGTACCCGCTCAGGTTGGGTCCCTCTACACAGCGGCAACAAACTGGCATTTGGTAGGCAACTGCGATTGACACTATTTTGCAATTATGTCAAATATGCACTTATGTGGTAAGCACATAAGGAGTTTGATGCAATTTAGGCAGTATCCTCTTACCACTGAAGTTGATGGCACTTAGGTCATTGACTCGAGTTCATTTATTCTGATTTCTGAGTCCAAATGTATTGCTTTTGGCTCTTATCCAGCACATAGGCAGACCCTGTGTCCCTAAAGGGCCCCCTGACTTCAGCATGTTGCTGCCTGGACACAGCAGTCTATCCCATCCAGATCACTACAGAGGCTGAGAATTTAATTATAATCTCTTCAGGACAGGGACTGCATTCTTGTCTGAGGTTCTAAATGGCAACTTGCGTGGTCATATCAATTTAAAATAAGGGAAATTGTGGACTGAAGGGATAACTATTTACAAAACTGGTCAATGTTTCTCAGTGTATCAAAAAGAGAAAAAAAAAACGCAGACCACATGCTCTTAATTCAATAGAAAAGAAATGTGGTATTTGAAAAATGAAGATAAATGAGGTTTGACTGGGAAATAGTGAAAAAGCAAGCATTGCTATATTTATCCAATCTAACTCCACTCTTTGTTTTCCTCCTCAGAATAACCTTCACATTCAGAATCAGATGTTACTGGGAGAAGATTTACTGTTGCTGAAAGGAGAAAAAAGCCCCACAGAAAAAAATGCTTACTATTACAAAATTATTATAAAAGAATTCTCATCTACCATTTTCCCCTCATAGACAACACTGAAGGGCACAAAGGAACTGCTCATTATTACATTGTATTGATAGATTGTGAACGAACACCTATTATAATGATGCTATTAATATTTTTTAACAGAAATTACCAGTTTTACTCGTGTTTATGTCTCCTACTGCTAAACCACTGAACTGTAATACTACTGTATAATTTAAGGGTCTATCAAACTGACAGTACTTGTATTTCACATACGTGGGTGGATGGATGGATGGACGGACAGACAGATGGAAGAAGGGTTTAAAAAAAGCAACAGAGGCAGATCCTGTGAGATACTGACCAAATTATCCTGCAATGTGCTGGACACCCTCAAATTTCATGAATTCCAAGTCAAAGGAAGATAATGGTTCTCAAAGGACAGGACATATAAAGCCTGATATAAAAACCACTGAAGTCCAACAGTTACTCTTCTATTAACTGGAATGCATGGCATCATATCAAGCCCTTAGTAAGGTGGCCTTGTACCCCACTAAATAAATGCTAGAGATGAGAGAAACCAGCATTCAATTGTATAGATTATTGGCAAGATGAAAACCATAACAAGGAAAAGCCATCAATACCTTAGTAAATGAGCTTCACACATCTGATTTGATAGATTAATTGATTTATCTGCCACCCTTCCCAATAAGACCCAAGGCAACTTGCAATAAGAGAAACAAAATACTTATAAAACAGGATAGCAATAAAACAACTTAAATGGGAACTAGAATATCAATGCAAAAGAGAGACTCCCGAAACAGGATCTCAGCCTGGCTTTGTTTGCTGCCCAAATAGAAAGGTCTTAAAGCACACAGGCTCAGGCTCAGGCTCAGGCTCAGGCGGGCCTTAAGAGGAAGGGAGTTCCAGAGCCAAGGGGCAACAGCTGAGAACAGCTGACCATGCATTTTCACCAAGCAGACTTGGCATGTTGTAGTACTTGCAGGAGGTTGCTCTCAGCTAGCCTTATAACATAAGGGACAAGTCAGTGCCTTAGGTATGTAGGGCCCTCTAGGTCAAAATCAGCACCTTGATTTGAGCCCAGAAAGCTATTGTGAGCCAATCAAGACTGATACACTAGAATTATGTGCTTCTGGCAATCCACCAGTCAGAAGGCAGGTTGCCATATTCTATACCGTTGTAGCTTTCAGTCCTCAAGGGCAGCCCTACACGGAGTGTTTTGCACTATCTAGCCTCAAGGTCATGGATGATGGTGCCTATATATCCAAATCTTAAAAGGGACTGTTAACAATTAATTCAATGTGACATAATGAAGGATTTTTAAACATATATGAGCTGATTGTGTAGACTCTGGGTATTTCTGAATCTGGGACTGTTCAAGGGACAAAGGATTTGCACTATGGTGTAATCAGTTTATCACTTGAATTCTATGCCTATTTAGTAATGCGGGGCACATCTACACGAAAGGTTTACTGCAGAGCAGATTAATTAGCTCCACAGTAAATACCTCACCGGTCTGCACTCACCGGCTGCTGCAGCGGCCGTCAGGGCTCCTGGAGGCTCATAGCAGAGCCCCCCACGCAGTGTGGGCAGTGGGGGGCAGAGGGGAATGCCCACCCACATGGCAGGAGCCGGTGAGTGTGGGGTTTTTTAAAAGAGCCAGGACGCTGGGGGTGGCAGGGCAGCCATTGACAGGGCTGGGAGAGCAGGCAGGGGATGGGGCCTGTTTGATTTAGAGATTCGGCCAATTCGACAGTGGCCAAATCTCCAAATTAGATTCAGGAAAGTGATTTGAATCACCGAATCAAATCATTGTCCCCCAAAACAGCCAAATCCGAAGCAAATACTAACCGCTTCACACAGGCCTAGTATTTAGGTAAGTTATTGCTTTTAAAAATCTGGTCCTAAGCCCTTGCATATTAGGGACCTACGCTATAGACACTGGAGACCACATCATAACTATCTTATGATGGTTCTGATGTGCATATGGATTACTTGATATTCATTTCTCAATAATATCATATATAGTCTGTAATCATTGTGAAGATGAGCAAAAGAGCTTTTGTTTAACTAGAATTCAGATTCTGGCATTTAGCCACTGAACTGAGTGAGAAGTGATTGGAAGCCATGCTACTCATATGCGCAGATAAAGTTTTCACAGTGCAACATCCATTACTGTACCCATTATACTGGTGCAGAGTGTTTCCCTCCCAACAAGTATTATAATAATGCTTTCTTTGTCCCCTTTCCCTTTTGCCTAAGTGTGATATGCCACTGGCCACACGATATACAAGACTACAAATAGCCACACCCATCTAAAACTTAATGCAGTCTTTGGCTCATCTGCTTTCAAGATACAGTTGGTTTGAAGTAGGGTTCCCTGCCCCTTTGGATCACTTTTTTCCCCATTGTGACTTTAGGGAGGCCTGGGCACCTATGCAGCGAGTGCCATTTTTGTTCCACTGGAAAGGCTTTATCTAGTGTCTACTTAGGGCTGCATTACATGTTACTATTCACACATGCTAAATCTATGGAATGTTATGTAGTATTAAAGTTAAAACACGCTTTGAGTAGTCGCAGGTAGAGGGTGAATAAAAGCAGACAGATGGCAGCATGGCCAGAAGGTTGGAGAGAATTGGTGTGGCTAGAAGTCAAAAGGACTGGGTTCTATCCCTGTTCTGGGAGGAGTAGACCAGGGGAGCTGGGGGTCAGGACACCTGGGTTTGGTTTCCAGCTCTAGAAAGCTAGCAGGGAGCAAGGGACTGCCCGTGCTGGGGGAGGACAAAAGAGGACGTAGGGCTACTAATTGTGAAGAACAGCTACGATCCTCCCTCACTACTATTAGATGCAAGAGAACATCCATAAAAACTGTTCTCTTGCAGCTCCTGCCCAGTCATTCTACTGGCTGTCCGCTGGGGGCTCCTGCTCCCCTTCCTGGTGGCTCCATGCTCCCACTGAGCCAACCCTCCTCTCAGTGGCTGCAGCATCATGCTTGTGGGGAAAAGCAGATTTGTATGGAGCTGCGGGGAGAGGGAGAAGCATGCTCCAAGTTCCAACTCTGCACCCAGCCACTGCAGCTCCACACTTGTGGCGGAAGCCAGACTCAGGTGAACATGGATCTGCCGGTGGGAGAGCGGGCATAAAGCACACTTCTCACCCTCCCCTCGTCCCCTAGATCTATACTCCCACCATGCCACACCACCTGTCTCCAGTCACAGGTGAGTCTGGCTTCCCCCACAGCTGCTGGGAAATGGGGATTGGTATAGCAGGAGCATGGAGGAATGAGGTGGCCACACTGCCATCTGTCTGCTCAGCCTTGGGCACCTATGCTATGCAGGGGGCCCAGATACAGCGGTCTCAGCACTGGCAGGGCCCCACCTGCCCCAAGGCAGCACCCCCTGGGACGTGCTATTCAGGAGGCTGGATAGACAGTACATGGAATGAGAGTAAGAGGGGCTGGAAGCAGTGCAACCTGCATCTGGAGGACCATAAACTGCTTTTTTTATCCCATGGAGTAGACTGACGTTAATGCTCCTCAGCATCAGCTGAAGATACTCCTCAGGAGCAACTTTCCATGTGTTTTCCTGTTAATGTGTGGATGTCCACATTTTAAATGCATTTAACACAAGCCAAGGATAACGTGCAACAAACTCCTTAGACAGCAAACTCTTCATGTAATACTTCTTATGCAATAGTGCTGAGAATATTATCAAAAATTAATTTTAGATGAGTGCATGAGTGAGTGAATGACTACGGTTTCAAACATACCCAGTCTGCTGAGAAAGCAGCCTTGAGAACAGGAAGATAAGAAGAACAAATAAACCATCTACAAGAAGATAAGAAGCAGAGCAGACTCCCTGTCTACCTGTCTCAGAAAGTTGTAAAACAAACAACTCCTCACCATCTATCCATCTGCATACCTAAGCCATGAGTATGTAACCAAAAAAACTGAGTTTTGATGAAGTCAACTCAGCAACTCAGCTCAACAGCAACAATTGGTATAGCAGGAGGATGGAGTAATGGGGTGGCCATACAGCCATCTGCCTGCTCAGCCTGGGGCACCTGTGCTGTGCTGGGGGCCCAGGTGCAGCAGTCCCAGCATTGGCTGAGCGAGTTGTCAGACAGCAGTCTGTCTGGATAAAAAGGCAGTGAAGACCAGGCCCTGACGATGTTGTATGCCATCCAAATCAACTCGAGAGAAAACTACCGGCGTCCCTCCCATAAGATCATCATGTCAAAGGCATCACGACTGACCATTGTGACTGAACCTGAGCACCAGTGGATTCACTTATGTGTATGTGTGCATAAGTATGAATGGTTTTAGATAAAGCATTGTTTTTTCTCCACTTGATCTATGTGTGTCACTCAAAGATCTTGGTTGCTGAACCCATGTGTTGGTCTTTCGTCCAACAATAGCAGATGCTTCATATAATCTCACTCTAGGACAGCAAGTACCTTTCTATGGATTTTAAGGTAGTTAATATGACAAGAAACTTTGTAATGTTGAAGCAAACATTAAAGAAAAATAAACTTCTACATCCCTATTTAATACCATCATCATGAGACTTGCAGGACAAACTGTACTAGAACATAAAAATCTCTGCAAAGCAGATATATTGCAGGTAGTCCCCATTCTCCCTCTGACCCCAAATTATGCTTCAGATCACTAGAAGGACAGTTCCATGAGATAGAAGTGCTAGGTCTCTTTCTAGTTGTTGAGAGAAGCCAAGTCCTAAACTTTTTAATTCCAGTAACTGTTGATGTGTGTGATGTTAATATCTGCCCACTAGAAACTAATTTTACATGACACCAAAACCAATAATTTCTTGACCCCTATTTACCTGAGCACAAATTTAATCAAGTAATACTCTCCAGCAGAAGGTTTTAACTACTGTTATCTGAAGGAAAAAGGCTGTAGATAGAAGACACCAGAATTTATCTATTGGAGGGTGAAATCCCAACTCCGGGATACTTCTGAAGAGTCAAGGCATTGATATCTACGTTTCAAGATGATGTAGCACATGCTGGGCCTTCCATACTTCTTGACCAGATGTTAGGACCACTAGGTCCACATAAGCTTGGACCCTATGGTCCTCTCCATTAAAGCAATTGTCTCTAGGCATTTCTAGAATTGTAGAGAACAGCAATCCATTGAGATTCAAGTATGACTACTTTTCCAGCTACTCCTGAAAGTAACCCTCTGTATCACAGGTAAATGCCACACTAAGCATAATAAAATAATGTTTAGACACATGAAAATCAGAGGAAGAATAGCCCCATGACTGGAGACCTAGTCTTGAACTAAGACATTTAAATTACAGTTTCTACCCTGCCCTGGAACAGATTCACTGTGTGATGTAGACCAAGTTACTAATACCCACATATTCAAAGGTAGTTAGGTGCTAAATGCTCAGTTCCCAATATCTAAACTGAGAATAACTGTATTTCTCAACCTTAGATGAGCACTGTAAAGATAAACACATTGCCAGATATGTGGCAACAGGGGCCAAAACTACCTAAAACTGGGCCCATCTATACGTGCATTAATGTGCCTTTTCTAATGTGCATTAAAATTTAATACCTCCAATGTGAGGTACTAAGTTAATGCACATTAGGCTGTGCTAATGCACAGTAGCACATTTGCATGCTTTTTTAGTGATGCTTAATGCACAGTGGCTATTTTATTGAGCATTAGAGTAATGTTGTGTTTTTTTACATGAGGCTTTAATGCACAGTAAAACAGTCTACTGCACATTACAGTGCACGTGTAAAGGTGCCCACAGACTCCTACATTCACCAGAAGTTCTTCTACCTCTACGAAGGCACGAAGATCAGGCACCAATCATGCAACGGTTCTGTATAAGCTACTTCTGTATTAACCTTGTGATAGATAGGTGTTTAGCAGTACAACCGATAATTACAGTTCCTGCTCCACAAATATTTCTCTCCTTTTTGCCAGACAAGTCTCCTTTTGCAGTCTGCAGCTTTCCAGTAAACAATATGAAAAACATCCCCTAATGGAAATTATACAAAGAATCATTTATTATTTAAAAACACAATGCGCTTCCATTTTTTCTTAATGTTTAACCCAGGCTACTCATGTCTGAAACTGATTCTGGCCCACAATTAATACATACAGCAAATAGAATCCCTATTTAAAAGGTTGGAGTTTAACCAACTCCAAAAGGGTAGTGATCAAATAGTTAAATATCTCCTACAAAGAGATATGGCTTAATGAAGGCATATATCGTTCTTGCAGCTTATTGCCATTGTTTGCTAAGTATTATTACAGGATCTTGCAATCACCTACTCAAAATCTGTTTATCTGTATTTCAAGAGCAACCTAGAATTTCATCATTATGATAATGACTACTTAATGGAACTTAACATTATTTATTTGTGTATTTATTTATTTATGCCTAGTGCAAATTTCAAGAAAACTGGTTCAGGGAAGAGAGCTCAGGAATAATAGAGCTGTTTTTGTACCTGTCCCTTTACTTGCAACAATTCTATGTTTGTTATATTAACATGCTAACTATCACATGGTACCTAACTGTAACAAATGGGGTATCGGATTACTTACCAAATCCTACAACAAATATTTGTGTTACCATCTAGAAGTTATCATCACATTAGTTAACATACAATAAAACGATCTAAAAATTCAAGGGCAGCACAGTGAAAGCTTGCCAATTTACCTTTGTACCTCAGCTTCAACAATTTAAAATGGAGATAATGCTCCTAGCTTATATACAGTACTTAGGAACTCCAAATGTTCAGATATTAGGTTGACAGGGACAAGTATGCAGATTTGATAATTACCCGTATTTCACCTGCACTGGTGTTAATCTGAAATAACTCCACTGGATCCGATTAAGATCCCAAATACAACAAAACAAATTAGGATTAATCCCCTTGATTTCAGTAGACTTGGGCAAATAAGATCAAAACTGAGCTTCATTTTAACAGTTACTCTGGAATCATGCCATCAGATCTGGGATGAGAATCTGGGTTCCTGTGGATGCAAAGCACTGTGGTAGTCATGTTCATTTATTATGTAGCAGTTCTTTGACAGTGTCGCATGCTGAAGAAAAAACAACGTTCTTCAAAAAACCACGATTAAAAATAAATCTTTTTGTAGTGAGATTGTATAAAAATGCTTATATGCACAGTTTTGCTAAGGCATTTCATGCATGAAACAGTTTTATCAGTTCTGTTAAACATATCAGGTTCACACTTTGACTACAGTTTATATCGAAATGAATCCACCCCCCCGCCCCCAACTAATAAGCATTACATTTTAGCCTTAGGAAAAAAAAAGTATAATGACATTAAAATATAGCAGAATGGATAGTAGTAAAAAAGAGATTAAAGGTTAACAAGAAAAGAGGCTTATACAAATGAGGATCAATTTGGAATTTTGACACACATTTTATATATATATATATATATATATATATATATAAATAAAATTTCCTAGAGCAATTGCTAGTGCGTAAAAAATCCATCTGGACCACACAATTTGTGTCTTTATCATAACTATGTCTAGCAGCTTAAAAACAGAAGTTAGTCATGCCATTAAAAACCCATGCTTTCTAGGCAGAATTAGCTATAAAAACCTTCACACATGTGCAGTTTTCACCATTAAAATTAAAAATGATCTAAACCAGTATCTGAGGTATTGCAGTTTCTTTATGTATAGGGAAAAACTATGGTACCTCACATATGACTGTGCACTGATAATGGGCAAATATTGTCGACCACAGGTAGCAGCAAGAGCTCTCTGATCACTGACAGTATGAGCTTCAACAGGACTGCAAGGTTCAATCTGATCAGAATATAGTCGCTCCTAGCCAAAATTTCTCCTCACTTTTGCTCCTCAATTCTACTCCCAGAGCATGTCTACATGAGGCACTTACTGTGCATCAGCCGAGTAACACTGCACAGTAGTGTGGAAGTCAAAAACCATGCTAATAGTCCACTACGCAGTGTTATTTGGCTAATTCACAGTGTCACAAAATAACTGTGCACTGGTACTACTGCACAGTAACTCTAGTTACTACGCATTTAGTTAGCACCTCATTAAGCAAGTACTAAATTAAATGTGCAGCAGCTAAGGTGTATTAATGAACATGTAGATG